TTAAACTCAATAGTGTTTTTCTTTTATAAAAGTAATTATTTATTAAACAATAATGTATAGTTGTATACAACTCCTATATATTATTTGTAGTTTTTATAAAACCTTATTCTTTCTCGTAGGATGTGCCTATTGGTGGTAGCTTGAACTTATCTTGTTTCCATCTCTTCAAATTTGAATCATCGTTATCTTCTTCATGAACAAGAGATTCAAATCTTGGTGAATTTGGTCCTCTTCCTGTCTTCCAGGAACAATCTTTAATTTGTTTGTTATACCAATTACATGAAAACATTAAATACGTCTTCTATTCCTTTTAAATATGTTGGAGTCCCTATCGGAGCAAATATGTCCCAAAAAAGGAGCTGGCAACCCGTCATTGATCGTGTTCAAAACAAACTTTCTTTATGGAAAGCTAAAACTTTATCTTTGGCGGTCGCCTGACTTTGGTTAAAGCTGTGTTGGGTAGTCTCCCTCTTTTTTATTTTTCCATTTTTAAAGCCCCGATTTCCATTATTGATAACATCGAGAAACTGAGAAGACAGTTCTTATGGGGGGGGGGGGGGGGGGGAAGTGAAGAAAAACAAAAAATCAATTGGGTTGCTTGGAAGGTGGTGCTTGGGCCAAAATCGTCCGGTGGGCTCGGGGTCGGATCCTTGGCCTCGCTTAACTGGGCCCTCCTGACAAAATGGATATGGAGGTTTAAAACGGAAAATGACTCTCTTTGGAGGCGTGCGATTGGTAGTATTCATAGATGTGAAAGGAAGCCTATTCACTCCTGGGCTAAAAAATCTCTCCCTGGCACTTGGAGTAGTATTGCCAATGTCTTCTCGACACATGGCAATATTGATATTGATGTTTCAGATATTTTTGAATTTCAGGTGGGGGACGGAAAGGAAATTTTGTTTTGGCTAGATGATTGGTTAAAGAACGGGACTTTGACAGTGAAATTCCCTTCTTAAATTCCCTTCTTTATATGCGTTAGACAAAAGGAAAACTTGCCTTTTAGGTGACAGATGGGTGAATGGCACTTTCTCGTGGGCTTGGAAGCGGAAACCCAACAATTCTCAGGAGTCGCTGGAATTGAAATCTATGTTGGATGTTACAAGGATGGTTATGAGATCCAATGGGCCTGACACTTGGAGATCAAGGTTGATTGTCGATGGCTCTTTCCGTGTATGCGATCTTAGGGCCCTCATTGACAGTAAATTGACTATCCCGATAAATAACCCCACGGTTTGGCTTCACTTAGTTCCTATCAAGTGCATTAGTTTTGTTTGGAGGGCTTGTATAGGGCATATTCCTACTGCAATGGCTCTTTCCAAGAGAGGTATCAACATGTCTTCTATTTCCTGTCAAATGTGTTTTAGTGGTGTGGACACTGCGGATCATATTTTGTTGGATTGTCCGATTGCTTTTGATTCCCTATGCTGGATTTTCAATTGGTGTGACATTTCTATTCAAATGTTCCTTTCGATTTCAGATTTTGTTAATTTTGCTGCCTCATGGGGGAACTGTCCAAAAAAAGGGAAAAATATTTCTTGCTATCTGCTATGGGTTTCTATGGTGTATGTGAAAAGCAATGAACGACGTTTGGTTTAACAGAACCAAGTGAACTCTTCAAAGTTGGCGGATAATGTGATTTCTATGGTTTTTAGTTGGTTGAAATATAGGGGTAATTTTGGAAATTGTAGATGAGAATGTTGGGTTTGTTCTCCTTTTGACATTTTGTAAGTTTTGTTTTGTCTTTTCTTTTGTGTCCGGTCTTTTTCCTTTTAGGCCGTGGTTTTCATAATATCCGCCGGTTCCAAAAAAAATTAAATACAATAAAAGATCGATTAATGTGTGTGATTATCATCTATCTTATCGTGGTCTTTCACAATAACGTAAAGGGTTCAAAGATCAAGCCCATAACAACATAGGCCTATTTATCATCATAAGTAAAAAAATTTGTAGACCTACAAAAAGTGATTGAAATACCTAATAAACATTGATATTTTTAAACTCAAATATCAAGGAAAATTTTGGAATATGATAAAATTCATGTACCTTTCATGACAAAATGGATTGAATTTTGATTTGTTAAGACAACCCACAAAGGCATAATGTCAGGAAAATGATGCAACACTTGAATTTATTAAGTTTATGTCACACAAGACATTTTGATAGAAATATATTAAACATAACCTGAAGAGAGAAAAGGAAGTGCACCAAAAGAGACAATTTGAATATGATGCAACGAAGACTCAAAATTTATGAAATTATATTTTTAGAGTGAAAAAAAAATACTCAAATCAAATCTCAACTTCAAGGTCATTATGGCATCCTTTGTTTTGCAGGGCATGATAAACTGTACAAATGGAGCGTTGCATTGTTTTTGAAATGCATTGTATTATGACCACTAAGGTTAATTGAAAAAAAAAAAAACTCCAATTTATCCTTTACTTTGAAAAGTGGGACATTGATCTCTCGTATGTGCTGCATTTGAGAATGCTAAGAAAATATAAAATTACCTCTACTACTGGGATCAACACCACAATCTAGTAGTAAGAGTACACAATAATTTTCAGTTAACTCGTAGGCCTCCTTGAAACACAGCCAAAGCACCTTGTAAAATGACCCATAAATTATTATTGAGAACAATCTCATAGAAAGTATTAATAGCTTTCAAATGAACGAATAAATGACTTACTCTCTCGGTAAAATTAAAACATCAATATATAATGGCAATACAGCTAAAACCATATGATAAATGTATCCTCCAACCATTCATTATTCTCAAATTCTATCTTTGGAAGACACTACCAAGAAGTTGGATGTGGGAGAGCTAATAATCACGTGTGTTCACATCAAATTAAAATTTTCCAAACAATCAACACCATCAAAACTGGGAATAGGTACAACTCAGCAGTAAAAAATGCTAAATGAAAAATACAACAATGTATTTTAATTTATTTGTTTTCATTATTTCTATTACAACGTTGTATGAATTTACCATTTTTAATTTAACAAAAAAGCCAATAAGAATTTGAATTATTTCCGTTGCAGTCTTGAACCCCTGAATGGAGAAAACCAAAACATATTTAAGCGAATAATAAGAAACATTGGATGAAAAGATTACCTGAGGTGCTACACCTTCATCATTTTCGTTATATCCAATATCCACCCTCTCTTTGAACTCATTTATTTTGTTCTGAAAACAACAACAAATTGTATTCAATACCCAACAAACCTAGTTGAGAAATTGCATAAAGACCAAAAACAACGATGAACCCACATGATCAACATCATACAAACATACAAAAAATCTATAGAAATCCAAAATTAATTTTTTTTGAAAGATTCTAGGTTTGGGTGTAGAAATCAGTGTTTTCATTTGAAATTGATTTGGTTTGCACATCTACTATGAACCCAATGAGAACTAAAATCAAGACGAAGAAGAGTGCGAAGCAGAACATGATAGGTGAAACTGATTATTTTTCTTCTCCTCCATAGCTTTTATTTCATGTTGCTATTTCCCTGTATGAAAATGGATGATAAAGTAAGTTATTAGATTTATTGAATGTGTACCGTAGATAATCTTTGTTAAAGGGGCACACTAAGGTATGTGAAATTTATGGATTGGTTTGGGTTTTAAATTTGAATTGAATGTGATAATTGTCAAACGACTGATTGTAAGGGATTACAATCAATCCCAATTAATTAGGGATTAAGAATTTGATTTGTTTTGTAAATGTTAAACAACATGATTTTATTTAAATTTAAAAATAAAATCATATAAAATTAATCATGTCATTTTTTTAGAGTAGGAGAAAAAAAATTATAAGAAAATGATAGGTAGACAAAATTAGACTCTTTTACTAGAAGAGAAAAGATAGATAGATAGATATATTATACTTTAAGCAACTTCCATTTTATTTATTTACAACAAAAATCTTACACATAATTAACACATCAGTTTATTAACATATATGTGTGCAGCACAATATATATTGGGAACTATTTTATCTTTATATTTTAACACATCATTATAAAATTAATTAGAATAAATGGCTAATTAAAATACAAATACGAGATGAATGATTCTAATATATAAGTGTATGATTGATGATTGATTAATCATGTTTAAGAATACATAAGTAAAAATATAAAAACATAAAAGAACGAACCTTTAATTCCTATTAAGAAAGTAAATGGCATGTTCTTGCATGTGCAACGAATAGTTCAAAATTTCGAGTGCGTTTTATATGTTATCATAATTTAAAATATTTATTGATGTATATTAATGTAATGAAACACAAATAATATAGTAAAACTAGCACATAGAAATTAAAAAAAAAATGATAACAATTACAAAAATCATCCCATTTCTAGTCTTATTCAACACTCGAGTACGTAGATTATGCCATTATGTCATCATATATATGTTCATTTATATAAGGTTTTAGGGTATTTTTCTTTGTTTTGCAAGTTACTCCACATATATTCCTTTGATTTCAAATTAAATGATCACATCTTGCATTTATTATTAATAATGGATTTATTTTAGTTAAAGGCGAGATCAATATTCAATGTGAATGAGTTAAAAAGGTTTAATTTCTATTTTAGACGGTTTTATGGCAAATATTAATTAAAGTAAGTTAAAATTACAATTCTTCTCAAACAAGAAATACAATATTTAGTCTGTGAATTCATATATTGTTATCACTAGGACAACATTATTTATCTAAAGGTAAATGGCTTATTAAAAGATTTAAACAAGCTAATAAGTAATAACCAATAATGCATTAGTTTAGCATCTTGCTTTAGCTTTAATCAAGCAAAGGTTTTGTACCATACATACTTTTCTGCAACACCATTATAAATATTAAACAATCTTGTCCTTGTGAACCCCAATGTTGAGCTGTAATTAATTTTTTGTTATTATTCTTAAATTTATATGGTATAATTTTCACGTTATAAAAGGGTGGTTTATGACTATGACACACACATTAGAGTGTGCAAATATGTGTTTTTGTTTCGGATTTTATGGTGGGAGGAAGAAAGATAAGGAATCGGTGTCACTAAACAAATCTTCTTTAGAAGGTGGAGACGGAGGTGGTGTTGGTGGGAACCATACTACCGGTGGTCATGAAGTCGGAGGCACAGCAGTCGTAGTGGCAAGCGCAGCACATGTGTCTGATCCTAGTGGTGGTGGAAGTGGAAGTTCTCATGGTGGCCATGGTGGTGGTGGATATGCCGGTGGTGACGGTGGTGGTGGTGGCATTTGATGGTGGTTGTGTGAGGAAGAATACTTAGTTGTTTATTATATTGTTTTGTGACCGGTGATTTGAATTACATAAGGTTGTGTTTCTTTTGTTTGTTTTTGTGCATTTTTAAGTTTTATTTGTTTATTTGCTTGCATATCATGTCAAAAATTAATTTCCTGATCATATGAAAAAAAATATTCGGCATAAGCATATTAATCACACATTTGTTCGTTACCTCATTTGTTCTGGTATGGGTAGATGACATCTATAAGGAGATGAATAACTTTTTCTGATTTTCTTGCCTATTGTATCGTGAAAGCATAAATGCGATAAGAATCCATAAAAGATATAAAATATTGAAAAATAGTCTAACGAAAGAAGAATTGCAACATGATTTAGAGCCTTTACTATTCTGGACCTTCGAGTTAATCTCAAGGGACACTTCGATCATATAAACAAGTGTTTGAGGCGGTAAAATTGCAAATTGATGGATTTAAGGACATTTTTTCACCTCTCACTAAAATAGGCTACTCAAAAATTATCTTGATTTTATATTAATGTAATAAAAAAAAGATTAAATATATCGCGCGTGTTTGACAAAACTATTACTTATAATATTCATTTGTATATGAAATGAGTTCCCCACCATCCACTGTTATTTCTGATATTACGAGGTTTGGAGGAAGGGCTCAAGTTTGGTGATTATACTAAGGCTAAAAGGAGTGGTAACACTCCTAGCACCCTGCCACATTATATTTTTTTTTGCTGCCATGTCATTTTTTGGTCTGCCACCTCATTAGCATCTTTTCCTTAGCATTTCATAGGAAGTAGTAACACCCCTAACACTCCTTGATTTTTTTTTATCAAAATTAAATATATTATATTTTTTAATACACATATATTTCATATTAAATAGATTATATTTTTATACAATACAAAAAATTAATATTAAATAAAAAGGTTTTTATTTTTGGATAAAATATACTAAGTTGCTGAAACTTTAGGGGCAAAATGTGTAACTTGTTCATCTTCCTCTTAATTATCTGTTAAAAGAATCAAAGCTTCTTCCCCAATTTTTTCTGGTTAAAAGAACGCTAACAAATTAGCAACAAAAAATTGAAACTTCGACTATGGTCCATTGAAGGCTCAAGATCACCCACAGGTTCATCATCTTTCTTATTATTTTGATCTAGGATTATTCGATTTTTGTACAAAAGCTCAACCACCAATTACAGCTTTCTCTTGCTTTCTCTCTCATCTCGCTAAGGGTGTAGCGACCCATCTTTGGCGACTCTTGTAGCTAAGGTGAGGGTGTGGTGTAGCGAGTCCATGGCGAGCTGGAGGCGAGCGTCCATAGCGAGCCACTCCCTCCAGCCTAAGCAACAAGTTTTAGAAGTACGTCACAAACCTTTTTCTCCTGATTGAAACCACCAACGTTTGAACTAAATATCTCCCTTATGAGGTGATTAAACTGTACCCGGCGAACCAAAAATATGATGGTTTGACAAAATTACATGAGTGTATATTATTGTCCGATAAAAATAGTTGAAAACTTTTAAAAATGTGTAAAACTAATAAAAAAAACATTTGTGTAAAATTTAAAATTAAAATATAATTATAAAAAATTGTTTATCTAATAACAATAAATAACTTTTCTTTAAAAGTATTGGTTTCATGAATTAGAGCCACAATCAGAACTATCGGTTTCTTGGAATATAGGAACTAGAACCCAAAACATTTTACATTGGTTCTTGAGATTTGGAAGTGTCCTGCAACCGGTTCAGGTGCAGATACCCGATTTCATTTAGTTGTTCATTTTCTTAGCATTGCAAAGTAAATAAATCTAATAACACTTGTTACTTCAAAAATACAAAGCATTGTGTATAGTGGTCGTGTAAGGCTGATTTAGCATAGGCCGCATGAACACCATTTTCGGACCTTCATAGGCGTAGATAGCACTGTGGAAAAGAGAGAAGGGCTTCTTTCTCCCTTCTCTGTCTCTCTATTTCGTCAAACCATCCACATGTGAACACCATTTAAGGAAAATGTAGTGGTGTTGCTGTTGATGAGATGGTCGTATTTGACGCGTTAAATACTCCCGATGAACTATATGATAATTTGTTGCAACCAACAATTAAAGAGTCATAGATTAATAAATGGAATATTTTATTTCCATAATAAACTATTAAATCAACTAAGCGTGATTCTTTTATGTATGGTATATTTGACTTCGTATCAAACCCTTCAATGGTACATTGAAAAAAAAACAAACAAACAAACTACAGACGAGGACATTACAAGTAAAACTTAAAGTGTATTGCAACAAGCTAAAGACTAAGACCCTCTCTATTTACATCTTAATTGAAAAATAAAGAGGAGGGCTCTTAATTTTTAAGATATATGATGTTTGGTAGCATATGAAAAAATGCACTTAATTTTTAAATAGACTCTTAAAATGTAACATTCTGTATCAGACTAATATTATAAAAGCCTTAAATTTTTAACGCGTAGTTGGAAAAAAGCCCTAATGTTTTTTTTATTGCTATGGGCACAATTTTCTCGCATAATTATCAACCTAGCCCACTTAGTGAGTTTCATGGTTAACTTTGTTAATTTTTTTTTGCAAAATCAGTACTAAAAAGTTTAAATTTGGTCCCTCGGGTTTGTAAAAAATTACATCACATGGTTTTTTAACTTTATTTTTTGTTTTTTGTATACTTTAGTTATTTTCGTTTTTCTTTATAAATATATATACATTTTTTATTTTCTTTTTTATATATACTTTATTTTATTTTTAAACAATGTGATTTTTTTTCACCTTTTTACCTTTTGTTTTTTTTTTCTATTTTAGTTATTTATAGTTTTTCTAATGTTTTTATTTATTTTGATTCAAGTAAATGAACTTGAATTAAATATAAATTACTATAACAAGCTTTTTTATAGAGACCGACTATTATTTTTTTTTGTTATTTCTTTTAGTCTATTATCAAATTGAAATATTATCTTGAATTTAAACTATTGATATCACATATAGAAATATGATTTAATTTGCAAGTTATATCACACATTGAAAAACTAATTCTCAATAAACAAGCTATTTTTTTTTAATTTTTATTTTTTTGTAACATAAATATAATAGCACTAAAGAACAAAAAAATAAAAAGAAAATAAGTTGGACCGAAATTACAAATGTAAACATAACTATTTTATTTACTTGAATAAAAATAAAAAAATTACAAAAACTATAACTTATCAAAATTGTAATATACTCTAATATATTAATACATTTTACATTTTTTGCATAAGGTCAATAAAAAGTTAAAAATACAAAAAAATAAAAACAAATAATTGGAAAACAAATAAGAAAAAAAATTAAAAAGACGAAAAAGTTAAAATATAATACGAAAAGAAATATGAAAAAAAAACTCTAATATACTCTATATATACACTAAAAAAATAGAAAACAAAAGGTAAAAAGGTAAAAAAAAATCAAATTGTTGATAAATAAAGTTAAAAAATGAAAAAAAATAAAGTATATATAAAAAAATGAAAATAAAAATATGTGTGTGTGTATATATATATATATATATATATATATATATATATATATATATATATATATATATATATATATATATATATATATATATATAACGAAAATAAATAAAGTATATAAAAACGAAAAATAAAGTTAAAAAACCATGTGGTGTAATTTTTTTGCAAACCTCAGGGACCAAATTTGAACTTTTTATGATTGATTTTGCAACAAATTAACCATGAAACTCGTTAAGTTGGCTAGAATGATAATTCTGCGAGAAAATTATGGTCATAGCAATAATAAAAAAAATTAGGGTTTTTTCCAATTACGCGCTAAAAATTTAGGGCTTTTATAATATTAGTCCTTCAGTATCAGGTACATTTCAACTTATAGCTTAAAACCCAAAATGTTTGCATTTCCAGTCCCTACGCATGGCTTAAGTTGGAGCTACACCCCGCGTAGCTCATTTAAGTGGTCGCATTTCTGGCTCGTACGCTGGGCGTACATGGAGGTACACAAGGCGTACTCGTGTGGGGTTCAAACCCTAATTTTTAGGGTTTGGACCTTATTTAAACAACTTTATGGCCTCAAACCCTTCTTTACCTACAACCTTCATCTCGTTTAGCTCCCATCTTGAAACCCTAATTTTTTTGTGTGAAATTTGAAGCCTTTTTGTGGCATTTTAGTGCTCTTGGTGGTGAAGGAAGACCTTTGGAGTGGTGGTGTTGCACTCAAGTTCTTGGATCCAACATCTACTCATCTTTGTGCATCTTCATTAGGTATAAAGCTAAAATCTTGATGCTTGCCTTGCTAGATCTTGTTAGGTTGCAAGTTATGACCTTTTTATCCCAAAACCTTAGTATTTTGAGTATTGTCTACTCCAGACCATTTGAGTTGTCATTTCAAGCATTTTATAGTTTTAGTGTCATAAAAATGCAAGCTTGGTCCTTGGTTTTCATCCATGCAAGAGTTATCGAGTTTTAGATGGTAATATAAGTTAGAATTTAGGTTTTGAGCTTCCTTTTGCCATGCAAAGGAATAAAGGTTACGACTTTATGACTTTTGACGTTTAATAAGTTTAGATATGAAGTTTAGACGTTAATTATTAAGGTACTAAGACCTTAAAAGAGGATTTGGACGTCTAAAGGGTACGCTGGGCATAACCCTTAGTACGTCGGGCGTACTGAGTTGCAGCCCCGTAAGCCCTCCAAATTGAAGTTGTACGATGGGTGTAAAAGTTAGTACGCAGGGCGTACTCCCAGAAAACCCTCTTGGGCCATTTTTGGGCCTTGGGTCATTGGGGTATTAGGCCTTTCCTTTTAGGTCATGCTTAGGAAGGGCAAAATGGTCTTTTGACCTTGGTAAGACTAATTAGGTTTTGGACCATTGATTATGGGTTAAAACCTTGAATATTAATTAGGACTATTTTTAGGTTTTGATTAGTGTGATGAGCCGTGTTAGCAGCAACTCGAGGGTGTGATTT